GGAGGTTATCTAGGTGAAGTGTATTGACAGCTCTGCTTTGATGTGAGTTCTGAAACAAACTGGCTTTCAGGCTGCAGACACCCAAATATCAGAATGAGAAGCTTTTATATTGTGCATTACCATCACATTAAGTACTTTAGTCTTCCATGAAAAATTCATTTATATTATTAAGAGATCTGCCCTTTGCTCTTTTTTGCATGTAGGTAGAGAGAAGGAGTGAGATTCCAATATTTCACTGAAACAGTTCAAACATACCTTCAATCCCTCTTTGTTCAGGCTTATGCCCCCTTTCACAACTAACTGATTTCAAAGCTTCTCTAGGCTTCCAGAAGGTACATGGTCCTTAGCCCCTTCATTAGATCCTTTAAACTTTATTCTAGGTTTTAGTTTTCTCCATTTAGGTTTTAATTCACATCCTCCCTTATTCTCCCAGAAATCTAACAAAATGTCTCACTGATTAATGAAATACTTCCTCTCCTTCAGCATTCTTATTAATGATATGAATTTCTTCTTGTAGGGTGTCAGAAAGGGGACAGGTAACAAATACGTGCACCTAGTTCACCATTCTGAGCTGTATGCTCACATCTTGTTCAAATATTCATTTCCAGGGGTGCCTGGGTGGCTCAGTGGTTATACATCTGCCTTCAGCCCAGAACATGATCCTGGGGTCCTAGGATTGAGTCCCACGTTGGGCTCCCTTCATGGAGCCTGCTTCTCCCTCTGCCTGTGTCTCTGCCTCTCTCTGTGTGTCTCACATGAATAAATAAATAAAATCTTTTAAAAAATACTCATTTCCATTGGATTTTTTGATACTACACTTCTGTTTTTCCTATTACTTCTCTGACTTCTTTCCATTATCTTTTGTAGGATTTTTATTCTTTACTCTTTGCAGTTTGGATTATGCAAGTCTTAGTCCGAAACTCACATCTCTTCATTTCATACTACTTTCATGGACTTTCTTAACCTTAGTAATGGTTTCATTTACCAGTTCCTTCTTGATGACTCATGTTTATATTTCAACACTATTATTAAAACAATTAATTGTGTTTTAGAATGTTAAGACAAACTACATTCAATTTTAATAAAAAAGGAAAACTACATCAAAGTGTTTCAAGATCTTATTAATGTTAGTAGCCTACTTTCCTTGTTATATTCAGTTTCATTTATTAAAAACATATTCAGTACAGTGTACACATCTAAAATAGCTTTAAAACCTGCAATGATATTGATATTGATATTGAATGATAATTATATAGTAATAATTTGTAAATTTGCTTTTCAGCTTTTACAGTTAGTCTATGGGGAAGTTTAGAACACTTGTAAAAGTGTAACAGTAAAAGCAGCAGACAAAAGGACATAAATGTAGTGTAGGAAGGCTGAAGGAAAAAGTAGAGATAAAAATATCTCTGTGATATGTATAAGAAGTCAAGAATTATTTTTCAGGAGTTAAGAGAACAGTAAAGATTTGAATACATTATCAAAGTTTAAAAGTAAGCAATGGAAAACTATTATATAAATATAAATTAAAGGAGAATAGAAGATATATATGTATATATACCGATATGTACAAGGGAGTCAATAATTACTGTCTAAAATTGCCTAAATAAGAAACAATTTTTAATGCTAGAAAATATATTTTTTCATGAAAGAAAAAAGAATTTAAAAAGTTAGCTCTAAGAAGTAGGATTGATGGGAAGGTGGTGTGCGTTTTCTTCCCCTCCATCAGCACTTATAAACCACTACACTTATTTGATATAAGTGTTTTATTATAATAAAAATTAAACAGTAGATAAATGACAACTAAGGAAACAACCTTAGATAATTCATATAAAGAAGAAATATGCATTTTTGAACTCATAAAATCTTAAATGAAACTGTCATTGAATGATATAAATTTTGAAAATATTTTCCACCTGTTTTTTTTTTTTTTTAAGATTTTATTTATTTATTCATGAGTGGCAGAGAGAGAGAGGCGGAGACACAGGCAGAGGGAGAAGCAGATTCCATTCAGGAAGCCCGATGTGGGACTCAATTCCGGAACTCCGGGATCATGCCCTGAGCCAAAGGTAGACAGACGCTCAACTACCAAGCCACCCAGGAGTCCCTCAGCTGTCTCTCTCTCTCTCTTTTTCAAGGATTTTATTTATTTATTCATGAGAGATACACACAGAGAGAGAGGCAGAGACCCAGGCAGAGGGAGAAGCAGGCTCCATGCAGGGAGCCCGACGTGCGACTCGATCCAGAGTCCCCAGGATCATACCCTGGGCTGTAGGCTGTGCTAAACCGCTGAGCCACCAGGGCTGCGCAGCTGTCTCTTTTTAATTTAAATACTAACCTTAATGTAACAGTTCATTTTGCTTTTTATCGGCTTTGTTAAGCCTTTTATATAGTACTGCTCAAATGATTTTTCAAATGCAAATATCCATTTAAAAAGTAGTCAACAATATCAACTGCATCAGTAAATTCAGTTAGTATGAAAAAAATATTAGTTTTCATGGTAGTACTATTTTGATAGTACCACTAGTACTGTAAAGTACTACTAGTAGTACCTTTTTATTATACTGTTGATAGCATAGTACTGGTTATATATGAATCAGTGTATTGTTCTGTAAAGGCCAAGAAAACAGCTAAGAGTGGGGGAATTGGTGCTAATAGGAGGAGGAACAGTATAGGAATTCTATTGAAATAGATTAAGGGCTAAATAGTAGGGATGGAGAAGTAGATTTAATTTTATTAGTAGGAAGATTAATTTATTAGCATCTTGTTTTTGTGAAGTGCTGATAAGCAGTGCAGTTTAAAGAAAGCAGAGAAGATTCTGTGGGAGAGTTAAAAATTAGCCATCCACAGAAATTTAGTAGGATTGAGAAGCACTCCCGAAGGCCTGAGTCAATATTGTCATGAATCAATGACGGGTGTAATTTCCTAGCAGTTTTCAGATTCTCAAGGTAGTCACAGATTAAGAGCAAAGTTGAATTCATTGGGACTTGGGATTTTGCCAAGCAATAGCAATAGAAGACAGGGGCAAGAGAGCTAAAATAGCAATAAAAAATATTTTAATTATTCTTGAAATGTTTGACCATGGCAGATAAAAGATCAAGTTAAGTGATATATCTGTACCATGAAATAATAAAAGGAATACAAACAACTGTTGAACATGGGCACTGAAATAGTGAAATTGGTTCTGTACTAGTGAAACCAGTATCTGTTTTTGGATTCTGATTTATACATGTGCTACTTTCTCTCATGATGGTCAGTCAGTGCAATATTTAGGTCAATTATATAAAAATAAGACAGCTACTGTCAACCTCAGCCACTCTCCAAGTATATATTAGTATTACATAAATGAATAACCTTAATGGAGCTCTTTATTGACTAGTCAGCAAATTTTTACAATTTTCAGGCAAAGATGTTTTAAATTCTTAAGGAGTTGAGAAAATGCTTGGAAACATGGAAATGAGGTATAGAAAATCATTTAATTCTAAACTTTTAACTAAATAAATTTTTAAAATAATATTTATTTCTTTTTTCTTTTCACCCTGTGGACAGTTAAGAGAACAATAAAGATTATTTTCATATAATCTTGAAGTTGACACAATATATTCACAATCACAGCTTTAACTACAGTGAGGGAATACCCAATGCTGAATTTTAAATATCTTTCTCCACCCTAGCCCTCTTTTATGCATATTAGGCATGTATATCTAAATACCTACTGCATATGGATTTCCCAAGAATATTTCATCTCATTATATTAAAACTGAATTCCTCATATTTACAAACTCCTCAATCTGTGTTATCTCTTCTTTTGAAGAGAATTGTCACACATTCAATGAACTGTGTTCTTACTCTAGAGCCTCATATTTAATTTATTATTAAATCTTAGTAATTCTACCCATTTAATATCCTGCATATTTCCTGCTCTCCAATGCCATTACCACTGCTTTCATTCTGTCTTTCATTACCTCTCAGCTGGTGATTTTCATTAGTCCGAATTGGTTTCCTAACTTCTGTTCTTTCCCAGCTATCCCTCCATGCCATTTCCTAGCTATGTGATCTTTGGCCCTTTGGCAGTCCCTTCATGTCCCCAATATTGGCTTCTTCATCTCTAACCTGGATATTGTATTTGTACTCTCTACCAGATAGTGTGTGTGTGTGTGTGTGTGTGTGTGTGTGTGTGTGAAATACATAAAATGAGAAAATGAGTAGTAGGTGAAAATCTTTTGATGAAACTCTGGGCCTCCACTGCAGCAGCATATATTCTAAAACTAAGGATATAAAAGAGTAATGTTGAAATAGATTATTTTTTAAGCTTGACAATCAATCAGGATTCTCAAGCTCACTTCTTAATAATGCCTTCATGGATTTTTTATTGCATGACAGAGCAAGCCACATATCATATATCAACTGGTAATGCAGCACTTGACTCCTTTAATACAATGCTTAACTGTAAATGTCTATAACTACAAATGAGGTGTTTAAATTTGAAGATACTTTAGATAGATGGAAATACCTATAATTACAGAATCATAATTTCTGCCTGAATTGCACTTAAAAGTCAAAGTTCTATTATTGGAAAAGTAATAATAACAATTATAACTATACCATGAAGTATTAAAAGCCGAACATTCAATTGAAGGTAGCAAAATAAAAAAGTAATGAAAAGTGAACCTATAAAATGCTTGCAATTCATACGCATATGTTATATAAAGGCACTAAAGAGCAAAGAAAAAAACTGTAGTCTTTTTTACAGTTCATCTTTTCAGATGCTTTATCTCTCTTTGGCATTAGGATAGCATTATGGTTAATACATCTCATTCAAAGGTCATCACTTTCATATGCCAAAATTTTTATTTTGGGTATGCATAATTCAGACTAAAAGTGTAAAATTTCTAAATATGAAAATTAAAAAATATTTGTATTAGGCTTATGTGTTTTGAAATACATCCTTATTTTTCACAGGTGAGGTGGCTGACCATTTTAATCCAGACCATGCAACTTACCATCATTGCGTAGAGTGAGTGGTGTTGGAGGACTAAGTACTCGAGCGTTTGTCACTGTGTTTTTCACCAGGCAAATATAGCTGCCAACATCTGATGTTTGGACTTTAGAAATATAAAGGTTGCCTGTCTCCTGGGAAATGAACCGTCGGCTGTCCTCCACCACAAAGGAAGGGAACTCGTTAAATACCCAGCTATAGATGATCTCTGTAAATACACAAAATTTGATTTTTGAAAGATAAGATTATTTTACTAACAGTTAAAGCTCAAACAAGAACTCCTTTACTAAGTGTTTGATCTACTGCAAGGCCATACATATTTGTATGTATGTATGTATGTATGTATGTAAGTATCCAGATACCTATATGATTTAGTATTTTTTGTTCAAAGGACTTTTGTTCTTAAGGATTACAGGAAGATCTGAAGTATTTCTTAAGGATACTTAGCATTTATCCAACCATCCACCCATCCATCCATCCATCATCCATTCATTCATCCATTCATTTCAGTGTGTGTTGAATGTGAATTAGATGATTAGGACTTTGATAGCACTAAAACTAAAAAGATGAGAGAAACAGTTTCCGATTCTCAAAGATCAATTTAATGAGAGATTTACCCAAACCTATTAATCAATATGGAATAAAGAAATGGAGATATATATTCTATTGCAAAGAAGGCATGAGAGAGGGGTACTTAAGCAATCATGTTGATCAGGGAAAGCTTCCTGAGATAAAAAACACATAAGCTACATTCATTTATTCATTTATTCAACCAGTATTGCTTGAGGGTCCAATAGACCAAGCAGTGTTCTATTTTTTTTTATCCTTCTTGGAATTATGAAATGCTTTGCTATGCAAAATTGAAAATTATTTTAAAAACTAAATAAACATGTTAATCCACAATGCCCATTTATCTGTAAAATTTGAGAAAATGTCAATTTTGTATACACCTGGTATCCAGTTAGAGAAAATGGTAAGGCAGTCAAACATGAATAAGGGAACCAAGAGAGGAATTTGTGTTGGTGTTATAAATTTGGAAGTCTTAAAAGATTAATCTGAGCTAGCCAGGTGAAGAGTGGATGGCATGCTGTCAGAGGAGACAAATGAGAAAGTTCATTCACACAAGGACTAGATGGTGTGAATGGACTACAACAATAACTAGTTTTGTGTTATTGGAGTGAAAATTTCGAGGAAGAGAGTGGTAAGAGAAGAGGTTGGAGAGTACAGGTAAATTCAAACTACTAAACAAAGATTAACATGGTGTATGTATGTTATATTAAAGAGCTTGTGCTCAATCTTGTATGGGATGTGGTACCACTGGATGTTTTTCAAGGAAGGGTTGACATAGATACATACATTAGTAGATTTTCTGGTGATTCTGCAAACGTTGGATTTTATTGCAGGAAAGATAATAAGATAATATTACATACCAAAAGTGAAGGCTGAGGAAGTCTGAATCAGAATCATTATAACAACAAGAAGATGTTGGTCCAAGAAATATACCAGAGGTAAGTAAAAGAAAGAGACAAATAGTCCAGGAATACTCTCATGTCTTTCTTGAGTGACTGGAAAGAAAATGGTAAAAGAAATTGGAAATATACCAAGTCAAACTAATTTAAGGAGAAAGATTATTGGTTCATTTTCAGGACATGTTGAGTTGGAAGTCTGTGAAGAAAATCTGTGTAAGGAGCTCTAGCAGTTGGCAAGTAGGTGTTCAAAGTCCAGGAAAGGAAATCTGAGGTGAAGGTTAAATTTGAGAGTTGTCAGTATAATTGTCAGGTATAATTGAATCCAAGTAAATGGGTGAGATAAATTAGGAAGAGCAGATATGGTGAGAAGATACTCTGGGAAACACAAACATCTAAATAAAGGTAAGAAAGAAGAAACTGCCGAAAAGATTCAAAAGGAATAAAGAAAATGCAGTGTTATAGGTGCCAATGACTTAATCACAAGATTTAGCCATTTAATCCACAAGATTAAATAATATCAAACAAGGAAAAAAGGCTCAATAAAATAAAGAAAATGTTACTTAAGATTGGCATTTGGGATATCACTGAATGGCAACTTCTATAAATGAGTGGGGATCAAAATCAGACTGCAATTGAGGAATTAGAGGCATTGTATATGGGCCGGTAGCATTCAAATCTCAATAAGTGTTAGAATTACCTATGTTACCATTGAAAGAGCAGATTCCAAGGAGCCTTTTCTCTTACCTACCTGCCATGAGTGGTTGAAAGTAAATTCATTGGTCTGGCCCTATATAGTTTCCAGTGGAAAGTCTGGCATTTAGTCAGTCTTCCGGGATACTCAAGCAGAGACTTGAAGCTTACCCATCCATACTGGAAGTCAGTGGAACTAATTTCAAATTTATACATTGATCAATTAGCTCTGAATACCTTCCTAATTTATTACTATTTTTTTTTATCTTAACTGAACCAGTATAAAATGTACAGTAAAGATAAATCATTAATTTTTGTGAATACATGGTTAAGATAGGTGGTATCATAGACTAGCTTCTGTGAAAAGTCAGAAACATTTCATAAACATCTTAGGCAGGTGTATTCTATACAAACAACTGATAAATTAAACGTGGTATTTCTTCTACTTCTAAATTCTCCTCTCCTCCCGTGTATTTTCTTCACTTAGTTCAATTGATTAGAACTTCCAGAGACAATGTGCCCAAGTCCTGAGTTGGCTATTTACAGATGGTTTAAATATTATTTATTTATTTGAGGACAGAGCATGTGTGCTTGCAAGCCAGCATAAATAGGTGGAAGGATAGATAGAGAAGCAGACTCCCTGCTGAGCAAGGAGCCTGATGCAGGGTTCTGGGATCATGATCTGAACCAAAGGTAGATGTCTAAAAGAATGAGCCACCCAGACACCCCGTTTATAGATGGTTTAAATTAACCAAATATTCAAGTAACTCTCTGAGGTTGAGTTTTCTCATTAAAAAATGGGAATAGTATTACTTTCCTCATAAGTTTTCAAATAAGATAATTTAACCAAAAACTTAATACACAATAAGTACTTATAAAATATGAAAATTAACATTTCCATTATCTCCTTCCCTCAAAAATTATTAGGTGAGGAGCTTTTTCTATGTATTTAACTTAAATATAAGGAAAACAGCAAAGAGGATCTAAGATAACACTGAAGGAATTATCAGTGTTTAAATATTAGTCTGTTTTCCATAGAAAATTTCAATAATGTTTGATGCTAATTCTAAGCAAGATTTAGCTAATATTTATTACTTCTAAGGCATACAATACAGTTGTAACAGATGCTTGAGAATTCTGAAGTTATAATGCATTAATGTATACTACACATATGCAATATCAAAACTTTCAGATATTTTAACAAGTGTTTTACAATAAAAACTCTTTTTTTATAGCTAAAGTTACCCACTTGATTGTCTTTAGTCCAGTTGATATTTTACTAAGAATATTAATGGTTTCCATGTGGCTTTATTCAAAGAAAATCCAGAGTATTTTTGAAATACTTCATTATGTCCTTGCACTTCTTAACTAGACTCTAAATTCAAGGACTTTTCACATTAACCATATGAATTCTTCTAATTGTTATAATAAGAGTTTCATTTGTTGTTCACACATAACTCACATATTCTGATATTTTTGCAATTTATTTTAAATTAAATTTTACTGGAGTTAGCTCAATTTTTGGCTTATATTACTTGAAATTTGGGGGAAAAGAAAGCAGTGAAAAATTTAAAACTATTATTCCTTGAAATACTATTTCTGTTATACTTATAGGGCTTATTGAGCCAGTGTTTTATAAAATATTTTTACAAAAGGAAGAAAGTATACAAAATTGACATTTTCTCAAAATTACAGATAAATGGGCATTGTGGATTAACATGTTTATTTAGTTTTTAAAATATTTTTCAATTTTGCATAGCAAAGCATTTCATAATTCCAAGAAGGATTACGTAGAAATGTTATATAATAGAAAAGTTGACAGTCTGAATTTGGATTGAATTATTGCACTGTGCCAAAAATGGAAATATTGAACTAGGTTAAAACTTTTAATATGGCTACTTACTTTCTCCTATAAGGTTTCATTCTATATTTGCATTTATTTAATATCTCTTTCAAACTTCTCTTTACTATCTTAAAAAATAAGCATTAATTATATTTCTAGTAAGATATCAGAACCTGAGGATTACAAAATTCAGGAATCTAGTAAAACATAGTTGGATTTGGTGTCATAGTTTTTAGTTTCATATACCACTTAATTTCATAGAAACTGTGCTTTGCCCTTAAAAAAATTTAATCCAAGTCAATTTATTAACTATTAAAATTTTAATATTATTGTTCATTTCAGAATATTGATACTAGTCTGATCAATTGTGATTTTCTCATTTTTAAAAGGTTCTCTTTAATGATATGTTTAAGACAACTGAAAATGTTTTAGAAGTTCTTCATATAATTCTTCAGTGAATATTTCAGTATTTTAATAAACAATGACTACTTTTTCAGATATCTTGTGCATACTAGCTTGTGAGAGTCTCCCTCAAGGATGCTTCTACCAAAAGTTGCATTTGGGATATATCTACTTGGGTTTGCCTTTTATGTTAATTTTAACTAGTGCATTTTTGATACTATGTGGTAGTATATATTTGGTCTACAAATGCAAGTATTATGACAGCTTGAGGGTTTGGGTTCTCATGTAAGATTTTTTTTTCTCCCTGAGTCAGAGAGTGATTCTAGTTCACTGAAGTCAAAGCCAATTGCAGGCCTGCCTTGGTGCAGATGTTATTCTAATTTCTCCTGTCAAGCAGACCCCAAAACTTGTATTCTATTCCAGTATTAATGTTTATCCTCAAGCTCCTAGACTTTAGGGTCCATGACACAAAGAATCCACCTTGGTTCCAAGATATCCTCAGGATTATCGGTATTTGTAGATTTTAGCCAGGATTTTAGCCCTCTGTTTTAGTTCTTATTTCTTTTTGACACATGGAGATTTCCACTTCTTTCTTGGGAGCTTAACTGCATATTGAAATTGCCTTTATTTTATTTATCAGTTATAAAATTTTGGTATTAGGAAAATTTCTAGGTGGGCTTTATCTGTCTGTTGTCCTAATTGAAAGTCCAGGTTTCATGGCTTTATGATTTGCAGAGTTTCAACACAATTGTTGTAACTGATTAAGTGTCACAAAACAGACTATCTTGTCTTTACTCCTCTGAC